CCCCCCCGTGTGGACGGGCCTCCATGAGCCCTGCCCCCCCTCCGCCATGTGGACGGGCCTCCGTGAGCCCTCCCCCCCTCTGCCATGTGGACAGGCCTCCGTGAGCCCTCCCCACCTCCGCCATGTGGACAGGCCTCCGTGAGCCCCCCAGCAGGCAGGTCTGAGGAAGCAGGGTACTCACCTTCCGGCTCTCCACAGAGGGTACACTGCGATTCTGAAATCAGAGGAGACAGAGAGAGGCGTCAGTCAGTCTGTGGATGCAGCAAACAGGCAACAGCAAGGGCTGTATACACAGGGCGCAGACACAGCCAGCTGACTTTGTTCAAAATACCACGGTAAATAAATGCCTTACACAGTACCATCTATCGAAATAACGATCCCTTTGTGTCATATGCATGGACACACATCAAACACTTTTTCATAACTATACTTGGCTCAACATATTCAAGGTACTTAGACAAAATAAGAATGGTTTATTTCACTACTTCATTTTAATATGGAAGCCTTTTCTTTGACTACAACTCTGCTACATCTCCTTCAGGCACAACCAAATATGAGCAAGGGTGCGTTACCATTTAGAAAACCAATCATGTCTAAGACACTCGGTGAAGGCCTGTGACTCTGTCATGGCTCTGCAGAATGGCGGGGCGGGGCGGGGAACCCTGTTGCTTCTGAAACCTTCTGGAGGGCAGAGGAGTTATGGGGGAGAGGCCTGGCCAGGTACGATTGGCAAACAGCACAGGCAGCTGGCCCCCACCGGGGGCTTTGGCCCCTAAGCTCTTACACTGGCCTCCTGAGGGAGGACTGTCGACAGGCCTCTGCACCAAGCCAGGGCAGGGCCACCTTGGCTGAGGCTGGAGGACCAGTGAGGAGGAAGAAGCTGGTGGTGGTGGCAGGCTGCTGTGTGGGCATCCAGGACGCCCGCGAGGCCTAAGATGCCAAGGTCAGGACAGGAGAGGTGTCTCACTGTCTGTCAGGGTCACTGAGGCAGAGGTCAGGGGACAGGAGAGGTGTCTCACTGTCTGTCAGGGTCATTGAGGCAGAGGTCAGGGGACAGGAGAGGTGTCTCACTGTCTGTCAGGGTCATTGAGGCAGAGGTCAGGGGACAGGAGAGGTGTCTCACTGTCAGGGTCACTGAGGCAGAGGTCAGGGGACAGGAGAGGTGTCTCACTGTCTGTCAGGGTCACTGAGGCAGAGGTCAGGGGACAGGAGAGGTGTCTCACTGTC